GTGTGTGTGGGGGGGAGAAATTGATGCACAGAGGGAGTATGATTTGAGATTAAGGTCATACAGGGAGTTTGTGGCAGAACCAGGGTCTAAACCTAGCTCACCAGTACCTTACCCATACAATCATCCTCTTTCCTGAATTGATACATGAATAGTACATATGGGTCACAGTCACCATCTCTAGGGTGAAATTTAGGAACTGTTCTAATACTGCATATCAGCCCTTCACAATAGCGTTAAAATAGGTTATGAAGAATCTTTTCTAATGGAAACAATGGCATTTTATGAGCCAGCAGAATGTGATAACCAGAACTGGGTCTTAACCCTGGTGTCCTGGAACAATACCCTATCTCCTGGGAGGTGTGTGTATTGTTTGTAAGGCTTGTGGATTGCTTTCAGCCCTTGCATTTACATAGCTCTGTTCATCCATGTCCTTATTAACATAGTAACTTCCTCTTTTCTTGCGTGTTGGGAATGTATTACACAATTCATGCTAAAGGAGAAGTATAAAAACAGGTAAATGAATTTACAGTGTGACTAACACCAGTTTACACTTTAACTTTATCTGAGTTTCTTAAACTCTTTCACTGAAGGTCAAAAACTTGCATATAAATGGCTCCATGGGAAGAATGGCTCATAAAAGTCCAAGTTTAAATGGGGGAATTTTTATTGCATTCAACAACCTCGCTGGCTTTTAAATACTGGGTAAATAATGTTCTGGAAGGAAATCTGGTTTCAGCTCTGCTACTTTGCCTGGGACACTATGGCTTTTGTTTATCTAAAGGGCTGAGTTCAATTAAAAAAAAAAATCTGCCTAGGTAAGAATAATCTTGGCAGGTTTGTGCAAATGTACAGCAGCGCCACTGATTCTCTTGTTGCTACACTCAAGTACGTGCAGAAGCAGAGTGCTGAGCTGTTTATCAGTAATAGCAACTGTATCACCACTATATTGCTAGTGCTAAAGTTGCTATAGCCTCCCACTTCCATGAGTTCTTGAAATCTCTTCCTTTTCATGCTGTCCTTACCGCCTCCAAAACCAACTCCCTGCCAAAGCTACACTTCAGATGTCTTCTTGTCCCACTAAAAATCTTTAAAATGGTTTAAAAAACTTGCTCAGATATTGTCACTTGAGTTAATGTTTACAG